AAATAATAAAATACATATAAAACAATAAAAATTCTCACGACGTTTCTACCATAACACAAACGGTCATCATCAGGTGTGAAAACCAACGGCAAGAAACATTTGAAAGAAGTGGCGGTAAGCAATTATTTATTTATTTTAAACGGTTTTGTGTCTATTTATTTATTTAAAATCTAAGGTATTTCCCTATCCCCAGACGACCTGCTTGTCAGTTTTGATGTAGTTTCCTTATTCACCAAAGTTCCTGTACCTGACACCATCGCAATCATTGAAGACTTGGTTCATCAAGAACTAAACACTGAGGTACCCCCCCTGGTGAGACACTGCTTAATCAATACATACTTCACTTAGAATGGAACTTTCTACAAACAAACTGAGGGCACCCCAATGGGCTCCCCCCTATCTCCGGTTATAGCTAACATTTCCATGCAGAAATTTGAGACTGACGCCATCCAGACTGCCACTCTGCGCCCAACCTTATGGAAGAGGTACGTGGATGACACTTTTGTCATCTGGCCACATGGCCGGCCTGCTCTAGACCAATTCTTCGACCACATCAATTCCATACACCCAGCCATCAGATTTACCATGGAAGTCGAAATAGATGGCAAGATACCTTTTTTTGATGTCCTAATAAAAAAGAAACCTGATGGTTCAATGAGCCACTCTGTCTACAGGAAAGCTAATCATACGGATGCTTATCTGAAACCGGTTTCCCACCACCATCCATCACAGAAGAATTCTCTCATCAAGACTCTGTATCATAGAGCCCAATGCATATCCGACCAGGAACACATAGGCAGTGAACTCAAGCACGTACATCAAGCACTTAAGGCTAATGGTTACTCCGACTATACAATCCACAAAGCTATCACTCAAACCATGAAGAAGGACCCTCTTGAGGAGCCTTTCAAAACCATCACTTTACCCTACATAGCGGGGATCACAAAAAAAATCTCCAAAATCTTGAATAAACACAAGATCCAGGTCAGTTTCAACACATTACATACAATCTGTGATCTGGTTCCGTCTGTAAAAGATGTGATTCCGGACATACAGTACCCTGGTGTCTACAAACTAAGTTGCCTCTGTGGTCGTAGTGTAGAGGAGTAGAATGGGGAAGTGGCGTCACTTGTGCTGTCCAGGGCGATGACGTGACGTCATGCGCTCGGGGCAGCAGAGTGACGTCACGGCTCCTCAGGGATAAAAGGGGGACCCTGTGACGTAAGCGGGGTCGTAGCTGGAGAGTAGGGGTCTGAGAAGGGTGGAACGGGGAGCCAGGGGCAAGAGGGTAGGGATAGGGGAGAGCACAGTGCCAGGCTAGACGTGGCTGTGCTCCTCGGTCGGCCATGTTGGTTGATCCCACGGCCGGGGCAGAGGAGACAGCACAGGGCAGCCGGCTGTGTCGGGACCTAGTCCGGGACCCCTAACCCCTGAGGAGTTGTTCACCCCTGTGTATTGTTAAAGATTTGTAATAAAACCTTGGCGGAAGCCCTTACCTTACCTTAGCCTCCGTGTGAGTCGTCGGGAACTCCTTTACAGTAGTTACATTGGAGAAACCAAACGCCATGTCTCGGACCGCATTCGTGAACACAAAGCAGACCTTAAACACGGTAGGACCAACACCTCGGCTGTGGCAGATCATTGTTATAATTCAGTAGGCTCACATGACATTGACTTCTCCAAGACAGAGGATCTTTGTAAGCCATCTGGCTACCATGAGAGATTTGTTCATGAAGCTATCCACATATACAAGCACAGAGACAATTTCAACCGAGAAGATGGATTCTGGCTTAGCAATCATTGGAAGGATTTGATAAACCATTTCAGGTCTTAATTGATTGTTCACGCTTACAGTGGCTTTCAGACAGCATACATTAATTTTTCGTCTCCCCCTCCTCTTTCCAGAAGATAGATGGACTAGTCTTCTAAATAAACTGCCAAATTGCTGCCCGTGGTGATAACGTTTTTTAAAAATAAATAAATAAACACAAACACCGTTTTAAAATAAAGAAATAAATGCAAACCGCCACCATCTTTCAAATGTTTCTTGCCGTTGGTTTTCACATCTGATGAAGATGTTTGTGTTATGATCGAAATGTCGTGAGAATTTTATTGTTTTATATATATTTTATTATTTTATTGTTTCCCTTCAACGTGACTTTACCGAAAGAGCTAAGAATATGAATTACTGCAGTCACGAAAGCTTTAAATCAAAAGATACTAAGCTATTGTGAAAGCCCGGTGGGCCGGTAGTCCATTCCTCCACCAACAAAATTATAAAAGGCTTGCACAAATCGAGAAAGTTATAGAAAGTGGGGGGCAAAGAGTTGATATAAAAGGTTTCCGAAAATTGTCGACCCCCCCTCCCCTAAAAAATATATATTTATCCCCACGTAGGTATATATACCTACACACCCTACATGCAACAAAATAAGTAGTATCTATTTACTCTATAGTTGTATCTACTGACTGCACAGTAGTATCTACTGAGCCAGTAGTAGCTACTGACTGTTTAGTAGTATTTACTGACTGTAGTAATTACTGACTATAGTAGTATCTACTGGCGCTACAGTAGTATCTACCAACTCTATAGTAGTATCTACTGACTCTATAGTAGTGCAGTTACTGTGCTTGTCACTGTATGGTGCTGGCGCTAACGAAGCCACGGCGGGTAATGTGTTGTTATTATGGGCAGCCCGGGTTATGGGGTGTAGTACCAGCACTAGCGGGGCTTGGGTGAGCGCTGGTTAGCGCGGAGGCACCGTGAGCAGTGTTCGGTGCGGGCTCCCGGTGCGGGAACGTCAGCCAGCCAGGGTTACCTTGGGGCATGATACGCTGGTTGACCTACTGACACGTGACCGGATGATATTGGAGGGGGGGCACCGGTGGACGGGGGCCACGGAGCGGTCACGTGGTCCAAAAGAGCTCTCGGGAACCTTCGAGAAGGAGCTCGAGAGACCTGGAAGGTGGGCGGGGCGAAGGGCGGAGCCAGCCCCAGCCCGGGGGCATCTTACAAGGGCCCCGTGAGGAGCTCGAGGTTCTTTGTGTGCTGGTGTTACGAAGATCCACGTCGGGGAGAAGAAGTCTCTAGCCACGTGGTCCAGGACCTAGCTTGTGGTCCGGACCGGGATAGCGAACCGTTGTTCTGCCTCACGGCAAGTGTCTTGCCTCACGGCAGATGTGGGGCGTGTGTACACAGGAATTTCCTGTTTTTGAAATAGGGGGTGGTCACGTGACCAGGAAGTTGCGATTTTAGATTTCCGCTGAACCACGCGGGCATCGGCCATTAAAAACATAATTCAAGATGGCGGCACACATCACAGCTCCGTGAAGACAGCTGCAGCCACCGTTGTGGGACTTTGGGAAGCATTGTCTGTAAGTTCGTTTGTGTTCTTATGATACTGGCAAGGTTGCTATAATATTAGAAGGACCTTTATAATGCTGTTATAACGCTAGAACCTTTTTAATGCTGTTAAATTGTTACGATGTATGTGGGGCCTAGTGGACAATAAAGCCTGCGGCTTGCCTTGTTGTGATTTACCTGTAATCGAGTAAGTAGATTCAAACTTGAAATAACGAAATGTCTCATTCATAAGACAACGTTATGATGCTGTGGTGTTTATTCATTGTGTTGGTTTTTCTGGGTATTAACAGATGCTGTATCTGTGCTGTTTTCTTACCAGTTTTACCTCTCTCTACCGTTCAATTTCAATAAATGACGTTCGGAGTCAGATGTTCACCCTGGCTCTGAGGGTTTATTGGAAACGCGAGGTTATCTACTCAGCTAGCTCTGCAACGCAACGCAGAGCGAGGCCGAGATAACCGTGTCTAGTTCTGCCATAGCGTGGTTAGATGGGCATTCAAGACCCGAGTGTAGATTGTGTTATGTTACGTACCGTTGTGTAAATAAATAGTGTTGCTTCGAAGATAACGTCTGCGACTTAGTTTGACTCACTACAGTAGTAACTACTAACTCTCTAGCAGTATCAAATGACTCAATAGTAGTGTCTACTGGCTGTGTAGTAGCATTTACTGACTGTAGCAGTATTTACTGACCGTAGTGGTATATATTGACTGTTTTAGTAGCGACTAACTCTATATAGCAGTATCTACCAACTCGATAGCAGTACCTGCTATCACTACAGCAGTGCATACCGACTGTGGTGGTGGCCGCAACCCCCGCCCCCCAACCCCCCACCATCCCCCCCCCCCCACGCTACCATAATAGTATCTTAGTGCTATAATATTAGTATCTACTGATCCTATAGTAGTAAGTGCACACATTGGTGGGGGGGGGGGGAAGAGGACACGACACTTTTAGGAATTTACCTCAGCGTTGAGTCGATTTTTTTTCCATATTGAACGCGAATGAGAAATCCCCCCCCCCCAATCCACCGATGACGCGTGTGCGTTGCTAGGGGCAACCCCCGGGCAGCTTTAGCGGTGCGATGAAATAATTAAATAATAATACAGTAGCACTAAATTGTTCACTTAACTACTTTCAAGTTTACTGATGGCAAAACGGTATAGCGCTGCCTTACCACGGGGCTTACGGCGTGGTACCCGGGTACTGTTTTTGAACGTAAATCCAACGGTTTTCGAGCCATATCCTTCGCAAGTGCGCATCCACAGACAGACAGAGACAGACAGAGACAGACAGACAAAAAAATACTTTCATAGGTAAGATCGTCTTTGAGACTGGTTGGTCCACACCAGAGACAGGGCCCAGTCTCACCACCAGTGCCAGACCAGAGCACTCCAAAAGGCGAGCAGCATATTTGCATGTTCACCACAAGGAGCCTGTGTGTGGTGAATGCAGTGACATTATCCTTTGCTGAAGGCTTCTCTTTGGGGTTTGAACATCTTAACACGAATGTTTTATTGCCAGAAAGGGTTTAAACCTCTTGTTATTTTTTCAAACTTTAATACTGACAAAAAAGGTCCCATGTTGTAGCTGCTCACCCCCAGTCAAGTTTAAGATGATGTACGCCATGGGAATGCAATGGTTTTGTATGCAATCACTGTATGGAGTTTAATACAAAATATGACTCTCACAGAATCAAGTTAAAGATGAAATAGGACATCGGAATACCGTATATACACTGAATCGCAGAAATTATAAAATCGTACATTAGCATAACATTGATTCATAAGCATGAAAAATACATTTTACACAGCGTCTTAACATAGCAGTACCATCGACTATATGAACACATTAACATAAAAATACGTAAACACCTGACATCAATGCAGATGTTTTGTATGCTTTGCGAACCGCGAAATGTAATACAAATTCCACGGGGCCATGGCGCTGCTCAGCTGATCAGCTGGCCGTCTGTTTTGTTGTACATTACTCCATGGTGCACATTCATTTTGCCCTTAATCATGGACCCAAGCATGCAGCGAGTGGCGAGAATGAGAGGGAGTTGCGTCTGTGGTCTGAAGGGGCCATGGCTGGGCTGAGCCCCTCCTTCTAACCAGCCCTTCCCCATCATCTCATTGTCATCGTCATCATCATCGTCGTTAATACTTCCTAATTATAATCATTGTGAATATTTAAAGGTATGTAAAGTTAATATCGTGTTTATATTTTTTTATTACGTAACATAGTTTAGGAAATAAATAGGCAACTTAGTTAAGCTATGACGAGACTAGCCACACGCGCGGTTTCCCTAACCCCTACAACCCATAGGCCCCTGTAACTTTATCAAACGCGAGGGTTTTCAGGAACCTGAACCCTCGCGGTTGGCCAGGGAGCTACTCTACATACATACAGGGGTCGCATGGGTGACTGCTCAAATAGGAGCCTCTCATCTCTAACAACGAGCATCTGCGTACATCAACGGCCATATTGAGAGACTTCTACGCAGCACGGCCATTGCAGGGTACAGCTCTCGATCAAATTTTCCTTGAAATCGATGCAGCAGCGACATGGAGTCGGCGCTGTAGAATGACAAGACGCCCGCCTCCCAGTCCAGGTGAACCCCGACTCTTTTGGGAGCATCTCGCACCGTCAGTTTTGTTTCTGTCTCATTATGTACCGCCTTGTAGGCGTTACCCCATTTCTTAAGGCTCCACGAAACTTCATTGAACCCAATTTTACAGGCTTTGTCATAACCTTTCCGTGGTATTGAGTCATACGTGACACCGATGACGAATTTCTCACAACCTCTCACGTCCACCTCCCAGTAGTGGCGACCGAACACGAATTTCTCAGAGCAAATAACTACTTGGTAGTGGTCGAACCGATCTGAGTTGTAAGGGTAAGGTTGGGTGTGTGTGGAAGTCCTGACGGTTTTAAAGTCGGCAGAAATCTGGAGGTTCCGATGTGCAGTGTTTGGGTTCAGAGTCGGTGAGCAAGTGCCTGTTAACGATAACAATGCACATGTTGTGTTAAGCGAACATTGATTACCATTTGAGAAATATACTTTGCAATTGGCAATATGTCAGTAAGAAATACAAACATTTGCTGAAAGTTTTAGCGTACCAGGCTGCAATTTACACAGCTGACGTAGTCTTTATCAGGGTTTCCTACGTTTCTGCCCTAGGTTCCACCCTGCCTATGAAAGGCAAATCAAATAGAGCCCAAGCATATCAACCGACTGACCCAATCTCACTCTCAGTCAACTGTTCACCAAACTGTCTGATGGCTTCAGGACACGTCTGGTCGTTACCAATGGCGCCGCCGGTAATCCAGCACTTTGGGGGCGAGGGTTGGTGGATCACAAACGATTTGTGAAACTCCCTAAGCAAGGGCGACAAAGTCGCCACCTGCTGCAATGCCAGGGTATGGCAGTACAGCAAGTGGATTAATCTTCATCTGGAATCCATCTATACGGGGATTACGTGTTACCTGCTTCATACTTATTGTTTGGTGTTGATGTAACTCGCTGGCTCCGTGTCCCTACCGGAAATCTGGGAAAAAAGCTTCATAGCTCATCGGAGTCCTCATCCAGGATAAATATTCTGATGCTCGTGGGTTTTTTTCCACGTACTCCAGTTTACTGCCACAATGCATGAACGCATTTTCCCTTAACGCAGCGCTTTTCAGCAATGCATCTACCACCCTAACCATTGACTTATTGCACCGTATTAAGGGTTCATATCTTATACAGATATCTTTATTCATCGTACATCAACACTAGAGATGAGTGACAAAGATGATGCATTAATACACTCAGCAATGTACGTGGTGTGGCGTGTACAGTAAATCACTTACTCGATTCTCTCCGCATTTTCAGGAATGCCTCTTGCTTTTCACGATATTCACACAGAATCTTTTGGAGTTGCGGCTTCTTTTTCTTCTTGCAAACGAGACGGCTTATGATGAAGTCAGCTCGTGCTGATGCGCTGGGTATGGAATAGACTTCTGAGAGCTCGGATTGTGTGATGAGACCCTGGACGAGCAACTCGCGATGTAGCAGTGCAGGGATCCTACCGATCAACTCTCGTGCCACCAGAGGTTCCTCCGTCGTCGTTCTGAGCAATTCATCTTCGCTGTCACCCGTCTTTGCATCGGTGTTGTTTGTGCGATGATCTCCACTGTTTGCAAAGTGATCACAAATCCGAATATCTTCTCTGCTCTCATCCACATTCAGGTTCTTCAATGATTGAGCTGTTATAAAATTTGCAAGAATAAACAAAACAAATTTGAGTTCTAACATTGCAATTGTTGAATGCCTTCGTCACGATTATTATTATTATCATCATACGTTATTTGTAAGTCATCGCTGGGAGGTCTCCCCAAGCGACTACATTTATTATCGTCCTGCGCTGACAATCTATTTCACTGTCGCAATATATTTCTGCACGTTAACTGATATCACTCAATCTCCGTCTGTCACCAACAGCCATAATTGTGCCCATAACCACTCTTTGCTTTACATATTATCTTTATATCTCCAAGTTTAATTTAGAACTGCCATCTCCTCCATCACTTTTTGTAATTGTTTGGTTTTTTTTTTGCTTAAATTCTCCTTTCATCTTTCGGCATCTCTGCTCCCGATTTTAGAATTAAATACAAAAATACCCAAATCAAGCCTCAATAGGAAATTTCAGAAAATTGGATGTTGTTGTCGCTGTGTTTGCGTTCTACAGAAACACAGAGCTCGGAGATACCCTCGCTCCGAGCTCCACGCTCTACTGCTATAACCTCGCGTCTAGACTCCCTCGCCTTCACTACCCCCACCACACACAGACATAGCAGGTGAAGGAGGGCCAAATAACCTCCACGACCGACCATAGGATGTGGGTGGTCACTCACTCAGCAGTGAATCAACAAATGCGATGTACACGTGCTCTACTGCTGTGGCTACATCGCCGACGGCGACGATTCTGAACCGTGTTTTACCTTTTGGGTATGAACACACACCAAGTCAATGCCAATGATTCCCTTGTACTCACCTTCGTAAATAGCGACTGAGCCCGAGTTCACCTGCATAGCTGGACAGAGCGGCTCACTTGGAATGTCGTCGAATGAGTGCAACAGCTCCATGGTGATGGCGTTGTAAAACGCAAGTTTTCCTGTGTTAAAGTCCAAGCGAACGCCGACTCTCTGCAAATGTTTAATCTCCGGATAATTAATGCATCGGTCGCCATGTCTTGCAGAGTAATTCGAATCCCATTGAATGAACGCCCAAGACTGCTCATTCCAGCCCAACCTGCCAGACTTTTCTTGACGATTCCTAGGAATCGACCCACGTGCGACGCCTATAGAACAGTTTCTAGAGGCTCTCACGTCCACTTCCCAGTAGTGGTCTCCTGACGAGAAGTTCTCGAAGCAGAGAACTATTTCCCACTGCTTAAACCTTTCTCCGTGATCAGAGTAAGGCTGCTCTTCCTTTTTCCACGTCACTGTGCTGAGATCAGCAGACATTTGCAGCTGTCGATGTGCCGAGTTGGGGTTCAGAGTGGGCGAGCACAAAACTGCAAGATAAACAAATCATCGTGTAAGTATTTACAATCACGACACAGTTTTTTGCTCATTATCGTCAGCCATGATTAAGTGGTCGCCATGAGAGGCAGAGGTGCACCTGTAAATGTCTTGCCCATGCCACTGCTGGTGGAAGAATCTCGACTAGAAGCAGCTTCAGAGCCCCCTCTTGAGGGTATTTGGCCCTCCCTTCCAAGCTGGTTACATGAGCCACAGTGGCTAGGAGATGTTAACTACCTCGCCTGGTATGCATGAGGTCGCGTGTTCAATCCCGACCCTGACTCCTATTTTATATGTGGAGTCTGTGTGTGTATCTCTCTCTCCCCGTGGTGGTTGTGTCGATTTTTATCCGGGTCCCCCGGGTTTGTCCTCCACATTTAGAATTAATATTACGAGTTTAGAGCATTAGACTGCTATACATTTTCACATGATGATGATATCAGCTACTTGATTGAGTATGTGGTGGCCAGGTCACTTCGAAAAAGAGCTATTACATAGCAACTCAGTGGGGCTTTACCCAGTACAATTAAATAGTTTCGTTGAAAAAAAAGTTTTAGTTTAGTTTACTCCACTACTCGTGACCACTCATTGTGCTGTTAGTCAGCGGTATTGCCTTGTCGTGTACCAAACCTTTACAACGCAGCAATATCGGAGCACGTGGTGCTGTGCTGTGAAAATTGTCGAGGCACCCTGGAATGCAAGTGGACAATTGAGGAATACTACGATTCCTTTTTTAGAAATGCATTGCAACCATTGCTTTGCCTGAAGCTACATCGAACTGCGGATGTATGTTAATATACACATGGAGCTACTGCCGGTGATTATATCAGCTTGCGAGTTAGTGCTAAGTGGATCGTTGCATTGCAGGGTCGTGGGAGGTATTGGAGGCTTGGGGAGGCCTTCATCCAGCAGTGGATTGACCTTGGCTGACAATGATGATGTAAAGGGGATGAGTATGATATGTTTCCAGTGTCCACTGAGATCGGCCTAAATTAGTCACAACTTTGCTGGCCACTCCACCACTGCCCCTCCTGTGAAGGTTTTCCCACTTGAGTGAGATGCTGGGACTGAGGGCCTGTGATGCTGAGACTTAGTGGACTAATTTCTCTGAGATTACTTTTTTGTCAGTTTTGTTTGTGTCTCTTCAGTTTTGGTCATATTTCTGTATTCGATTATTATTGTTTACTTTCTGAGCGTGTTTATATGCTCAGTAATTGCTACGTATATTATAGGATCTTTACAGCGCTGTCAGATATAATTAGCATGAATGTCGCTTTATTAAGTACAATTATTATCACGAAGTGCACTTGCCTGCAAAGTGAAAAATGCTACGTTTAATGGATAGCAACGCTGACGAGTGTGTAAAGTGTACGCACGGCTCTTCTTCAGCATGTCCGGGAAATGCCGTTCCCTGCTCCGCTGTTGTTCGAGTGTCTCCAGCAGCTCTCGGCGTTTGCCTTCCCCTCGTATCATGACGGGCAACAGGATTGAGTCCACGCGCTTGGCGGCGTCGGGAATTGTAAACGCCCTCCAGTACTCCTCTTCTTTAACCACATTCCTCCTCTTCAGCTCGTGCAGGAAAAGGGAGGGAGTTTTGCCGATCCACTCTCGCAACTCTGGCAACTCCCTCTCGACGTCCCTCCAGTTGCCTTCTCTGCCTTGCGCGATCATTTTGCCGATGAAATCCTCTGTGCTCTGCGAGAGTAAAGGCACGTCAAGTGAGTGAGCAGCAATCGCCAGATCATCATCATCATCACGCACAACACGGCTGACCAATAGGGAGCCATCGCTCGACCGCACCCGAGCATCGATCAGCATCCCATGTTTACTTTACCAGATGGGAATTCCCCCAGTACAGCCATAGAATGCCCAGGTACGGAAAACCTCTCCACTCTCTCCAGAACTGATCTCCCCATAGAATGCTAGTTACTTCCTCACACCCCCTTATATATATTTATATAAAAGCTACCACTCTACACCACCATCAGAAAACGCCTTCAAGGGTGGACACCGAGAATTCCTTCCCCGCACCTTGACAACATTTCAAGCACCTAAAGTCCCCCTCCTCCCCTCCCCCACGGTCGTTCTGTACCCCCCGCCAGCTTCCTCCAGAAAACCATGGACCCATTGTGTCGGGGCTTGCACACTTACCACCATCATGAAAAACACAACAACAAGAGTATTCTTGGTTCTTTCGGTAAAGTCACGTAGAAGGGAAACAATAAAAATATGAAACATAAAAATTCTCACGACGTTTCGACTGCAACACAAGCAATCATCATCAGGTGTGAAAACCACAGCAATAAAAATTTGAAAAAAGTGGCGCCACTTTGCAGTCACGAAAGCTTTAAATCAAAACAACAGGAGTGTGGGATAGACTTAGTAACGTGGAATGACTTACATTCATTTCATTATGACTGGAGATATTACTGCACACTGAATTATTTCTCAACCCCTGCAAGTATATGAAGGGGGGGGGGGGGGAATACATTAAAATAATCAAGGCGCTTCATAATGAACATACATTCTACATGTAGCAGTAACCCCGTCTTGCTCGTCAGCAATATCACGTGAGCATTGATTCTGATCACAGCCGGTCACCCGACTTCTCACTCGATTCAAATACTCAATTGCTGCCCCAGCTGCCCGAATCAACACATCAACTTTCATCAATAACGTAGCAAAAGATGCAGCCACGTCTCTCTCTCTCTCGCTGTCCTCCACCTCCATTCTCGAGCCTTGTCACCCTCCTTGTCCTCCTCGCTCGCCTGCCTCGTCCACGCCCACCCCACACTTCCAGCCTGCCCCCACCCCCTATCGGAATTGTGTCCATGGCTTCCCTGCCACGTCTCTTACCCCCCCTACCCCCCTCCACCATTCTCGGTCATTGTGACATATATAACATTTTTTTTTTAGGATTCGTTTTTTGTTCCAAACGTTTTGGTAAACGCTGATCTTACATTGCTGCTGTGTGTAGTAGCTACCGCACGGCAGACTGTTTTTTTTTAAATCTCAGTTTCGATAACCACCGGTTAAACACGCAAAGCGATCAGCTGCCAATTGTGCGTCTTGCTTCGGAAAGCGTGGCATAGCTCCATCATCACTGAACACACCGTGACTTAGGAAGGCACCACGCAGACACTTCTTGTGTTAAGCAATTTTAATTTCTAAACTAAACCTTACTACTCTAATATGCGAACTCAAATGCTTGGAATTGTCAACACAGTACTCCTGGAGATGTTCCGCTCATTGATCCATACATTTAACCTTCAATGATCACGTTTGTTAACTGGGTAACAGAACAATCGATTATTCCTCAGAGTACGCGAGCATACACGGCGATAGGAACAAAAAGTCCTTAAAAATTCATGCAACGATATTCATACGAAGGCAATAAAGAAACATGTCCCGAAGACAAGAGTAGTTATCAATTTATTCATTGGCAAGATTATGAAATTAACGAAAACGGATGAGTAAATACTTCTAAACAATCGTATTCATGTAACTAAAAAGGTTTAAACCTTTTTTTAAAGATATTCAGAGTAGGAACATCAAAGGCTAATTGTCTTTTAAAAGAAGGCAATTATAATACATTCCAGTTGTAATGAGCCAGGAAGCCGCCCCCCGATCGCCCCGCCTCATCCGTTGACGTCACGGCTCCCCTCGTGGGCGTTCCCTCTCTCTCACGCCCCGCCCTCTCTTTCCCTTCGTCCGTGACGTCATCTTTAACGGTAACCTGGGATCCCGTGGGTGTTTCGACCCCAGGATTGCGTGAGTAATAACACTACACATAAAGTGGGGCATTTACTCCATAGACCCCGATGCACCACGTGTATGGAAGACAGGAAATATACAAAACGTGCAGGGTAGATGGCCAGAACTAGGTGGGTAAATGCTGATTTACACACTCAGCCACTGACTCAACCACACACCCACTCACTCGCTGACTCACTCACTCACCCACGCATCCACCCACTCACTAGGCCAAATCACCCCAGGATCAGAGCCTTGACGTCAGATTCCTTAGAAAGAAGTCCGAAGATCCGAGGGACCTCGTTGGAAGTCAACACGGACCGGTTGCTGCAGATTATAATAATCTGTGCTGCCACGCCTAATGCTTCACCGACCCACACTGACCATCGCGATACAGGACGGGCAAATAACCCTGGGGACTCACACGGTCTGCTGAGGTTCTCATTCAGCAGTGACACAAATAACAGGAGTGTGTTTTGTGGTAAGGTCACAGACTTGGCGAGGTGGAATGACTTACATTCAAACGCTCTTCATTATTCAAAGCTATGTTCTCACTTGTAACAGGATTTCTTCCTATATAAGAGATAAAATACATTATTATTGAACATTCTAACATATATTTATGCTGGAGAATTATACATTATATCATATATACCTGTCGTGATGGGCTTATGTTGATGATGACGATGATTATCATGTTATCCTCTTCTTCATGTGGCTTAAAAGGTTAATTTTAAGTGTAATATCACTCTCACTCATATAGGACGGTACTTAAATTGTAAATATTGTAGATTTATTCTCCAATGCACTGGTGGGCTGAAGTAGTATACTACACTATTCACTACACTATACATTACAATATACTATATGCTACTATATGCTACACTATACAGTATACTAGTATACACTACACTACACTCTCATGTTGATGAGAGAGAGACATGTAAACTTCAAATATACAGCAGCAGGCATCGTCAGGGTCCGGCATCGAATCAACGACCTCCTGCATACCATGCAAGGGAGTCAACATCCTCTTAGCCACCGCTACTTACCCCAGGGGAAGCGTTTATGACAGTAGAGAAGGAGGTCCAGCGTCGCCACAAGGAAAATGGCAGCACCGATTACAGCCACGACGATAGCTCCAGCAACCTCTGAGGATCGTACACATAGTAGAGTAGTGTATAGTGTAGTGTATAGTAGTGTATAGTGTAGAGTGTGTGTAGTGTATAGTGTAGTTGTATAGTGTAGTGTAATAAACACATAGGATTTGACAAAACAAAGTAAGTTGTAACTTAACGTGCTCTGTGCTTACTTTGTGTGTTTCGATGATTCACCCAAAATGTTCTGGCCAACCCCAGGCTAAGAACCACCACTGGTGGAGTGAATTGCCACGGTGCGATTGCCATCAGTTTCTCTCTTGTGTCGCCACGAAGTCACGGGAGCCTTGGACACCTCATGTGGCCCCAAGAGTGCACCTAGCCTGGCACAGGCGCCGTGCGGACGTCAACGCCACTTAGCGGTGAGCGGCCGCTGTTGTTGTTGGTCCATCGCGAGAGATGGCAACGAATTGGGAGTAGGGGTATGGGTGGTTGGCCTTCACGATTAGCACTTGCAACACGAAGGTTATTTGTTGGGTCCTGCTTTAAAACCGACAAACGCAACCGAGGATCAATGCTACAAATCGCAGAATAAGTTTTACCCTTTCCTGCAATAGAACTGGGTTGTGTTAAGATGTTAAAACGCCAAACAAAAACATTTTGCAAAGAATTAAGTAACTGGATTAACCACACACAGCACCTGTGGTGAGAATGCAAACCAAAACATGCTCTGGTATTGGGAATAGGAATAGGTTTTACCCTTTTAACTGGCACAAAAACCAGAAGACGCCAGAAAACACCAATGGAGACTAGGCTCTAAGAAAAGCTGTCTCGGGTGTGGACCAATCAAATTCAAGGACAGTGCATATTATTATCAGAGTTGTCTTTTTTGTTTGCATTTTGACTGTGTTGTGGTTATTGCAAACATGATGCCTTGAATAAAGGTGTCAGTTTTTATGCCAGTTAAAAGGGTAAAACCTATTCCTATATCTTGTTTCTGGCAAAGGAGGTCTCAAAATGCTCTGGTATTATACTCATTGTCTTTAAAACGGATTCGTCCACATGTTTTAACATCTTAACACACCTCCTGTTATGACTGCCAGAAAGATACACTACACTATACACTACACTATTTACTACCATACACTACACTAGACACAACACTACTATATACTAAACTGTACACTACACTATACACTACACCACTATACACTACACGACTATGCACTACATGACTATACAATACACATCACTACTATGCTACACTACTATATTATACATTCCGCTATACACTACACGGCATAATACACTACACTATATACTACTCGACACTATACATTACACTAATATACACTACACTATACACTACACCACTATACACTACACCACTATACACTACACATCACTATACATTACACTAATATACACTACACTATACACTAAACTCAGCATTACACTGTACACTATACTTATCACTCATTGGTTTTTTCGGTAAAGTCACGTATGTAGAAATACAATAAAATTATGTTAAAACAAAAAAAAACAATCACGAAGTTTCGATCACAACGCAAGCGATCTTCATCAGGTGTCAAGAACAAATCACGGAGGTAAATACAACAACAAACAGATGAGAGACGATAATTCAACAAACCTGAAAAAACATTATGTGAAGCACATCCAGTTAGGCCAACAACAGAGTTAGACACTTTCTGGCGGACCACGAATTTCAGAAGAGTGTTAAATTTCGTGTTCAACCTTTGGATTGCACATACCAGCATAGATAGAATGAAAAATACGAGGTACACGGTCAGTAGAAATACATATACAAGTCCAGCAAGAGGTAAGGAGGGAGGAAAGACGGACAGGGAGGCAGAGAGAGAGAGAGGGGTGGCGGGGGGTGGCGGAGGCATGAACAGAAGCTTAAATAGGAAATACGGTTGGAGGGGGGGAGGGGCCAGGGCAAGAGCGGCAGCTCAAACACGCACATCTTACACATAGAGGAAGTGTCAAACTGTGTTGTTGGCCTGACTGGATGTGCTTCACATAATGTTTTTTCAGGTTTGTTGAATTCTCGTCTCTCATCTTTTTGTTGTATTTACCTCTGTGATTTGTTCTTGACACCTGATGAAGATCGCTTGCGTTGTGATCGAAACTTCGTGATTGTTTTTTGTTTGAATATAATTTTATTGTATTTCTACATACGTGACTTTACCGAAAAAACCAATGAGTAATTTTATGCAGTCACGAAAGCTTTAATACTTTATTATCACACTTCTATGGAGAAGTTTACCTTTGTAATTATGTGTAAGATGTGCCTTTTTTGAGCTGCCGTTTTGTATTTACAAGAAGTGGTCAATTTTTGAGCTGCCGTTTTGTATTTACAAGAGGTGGTCCTTATTTGAGCTGCCGTTTTGTATTTACAAGAAGTGGTCAATTTTTGAGCTGCCGTTTTGTATTTACAAGAGGTGGTCCTTATTTGAGCTGCCGTTTTGTATGTGTAAGATGTGCGTGTTTGAGCTGCCGCTCTCGCTCTGGCCCCTCCCCCCCTCCAACCGTATTTCCTATTTAAGCTTCTGTTCATCCCTCCGGCCCCCCCCGCCCCCCCTCTCTCTCTCTCTGCCTCCCTGTCCGTCTTTCCTCCCTCCTTACCTCTTGCTGGACTTGTATATGTATTTCTACTGACCGTGTACCTCGTATTTTTCATTCTATCTATGCTGGTATGTGCAATCCAAAGGTTGAACACGAAATTTAACACTTCTGAAATTCGTGGTCTGCCAGGAAGTGTCTAACTGTGTTGTTTGCCTGACTGCATGTAATTCACGTAATGTTTTTTCAGGTTTGTTGAATTCTCGTCTCTCATCTTATAGTTGTATTTACCTCCGTGATTTGTTCTTGACACCTGATGAAGATCGCTTGCGTTGTGGTCGAAACGTCGTGATTGCTTTTTGTTTAAATATAATTTTATTGTATTTCTGCATACGTGACTTTACCAAAAAAACCAATGAGTAATTTTATGCAGTCACGAAAGCTTTAATGCATTACTATACTTCTCATCACGTTCATCTTTCTAGCGCAGCTTTCCCGATCCCCGAGCGTGTTCCCCTTACCCTCCGCTACCCGTCAGCGCATTAGAGCTGCGTGGGTGTGGCGAGCGGTCGTCCGAACCTGCTTTTTCCTCCGCTTCCATGCAAGGGTCCGATGGGGCAGCCCTCTGGAAGCCGTCTTTACAGTGACAGCGAGTGTCCTGCATGATGGTGCAACTGCTCTCGGTGTCCTCGGCTGCAAAACAACACCACCACCACGTTGGTTGTACGTTTTGGCAGCATCTGTGGATGCAGCAGAACTGCTCGCGTACACGTACATACAGATCGGAGCGGTCTAGGATGCACGGCGACGCGAGGCAACGCGCGGTGACCCTGGAGTGACGTGCGGTGATGCGGGAGCGACGCAAACTCCAAATGTGCAGCAGCAGGCATCGTCAGGATTGGGAGCAAACCCAGGACCTTCTGCGTACCAGGCGTGGTAGTTAACATCTCATAGTCACCGTGATAATGATGAGAAAGAAAGACATAGACTCCAAATATACAGCAGCAGGCATCGTCAGGGTCGGGATCGAACCCACGACGTCCTGCATATCAGGCGAGGTAGTTAACATCTAGCCACTGTGATGATGATGATGAGAAAGAGAGACATGCCAACTACACATATATCGCAGGTGTCGTCAGGCTCAGGATCGAACCCACTACCTCCTGCACACCAGGCGAGGTAGTTAACATCTCCATGGCTGCAATGGCACCAACAGTGGCGAGATATGACTTTGTATAGCGAATTGTGCATGAACACACCCCCCGATTCCTCCACGTCGTATCTACAAACAACCACCCACCCCTCTTACAATTCACGTTGCAAACGGTGCACTTCTTGCACTCGTTGTAGCTGTTTGGTTCGTCCGTGTAGTCTTCTTCTGGCAAGCAACTCGTGCAAAACGTGCCGCTGTTTGATACGCAATCCATCACCTTCCTGCTACCTGCAAGTTGGCAGCAGAGGTGGGTGGGTGGGGGGAGGGAAACAGACGCACCGACTGAATGAGAATACAAATCAAAAGGTTTTTGGTGTTGGTTGCCCTTCACCGCCTTGCTGTGTTCCAGACGCTCGAACCTTTCCATTTAAGAACGGGTCTCAGGAACGAATTAGGTTCGTAACCCGAGAAATGCCCGTTCACTACTATGCACTATACACTAAAATATCATACAATACACTACACTATACACTACACTATACATTACACTATACACTACAATATTATACAATACACTACACACTACACTATACACTACACTATACACTACAATATTATATAACACACTATACACTACACTATACACCACACTACAATAACTACCGACCTATCTCAATTTTGTCCCCATTGATGAAAATTTTTGAAAAATTATTGAACTACCAAATTAGCAGTTTCCTGTCCACCAACAATCTACTACATCTAAAACAATCTGGGTTCCGGAAAAAATACAGCACCACATCTGCTGCATTAGACTCTTTGAATCAAATTTACAATAGCCTTGATAATAAGCAGTACTGTGCCTGTCTTGTTCTTGACCTGTCCAAAGCTTTTGATACAGTTGACCACAACACCCTGCTTAGTAAACTAAGTTGCCTCGGTTTTTCCGAGAACACAGTACAATGGTTAAAAAATTACCTCTTTTCTCGCACCCAAACTGTATTCACAGATGGTTGGAGGTCAAACAGTGTTAAGATAACAAAAGGGGTTCCACAGGGTTCCATCCTCGGCCCCCTCTTGTTCTCTCTTTATGTCAATGACTTGGGCACTGAACTGGATCATTCCAGGGTGAATCTATTTGCAGATGACACGATACTGATTACTGCTGGCCGCTCTCCGGATGACGTGATTGCTAAGCTCCAGGGTGATTTCAACAAACTACAACATCAGCTAGTTTCTCTTAAACTAGTCCTGAATACCTCCAAAACCAAGGTGCTATGCTTCTCTCCGGGACTAAAGCAGGAAGTTATTTTTCCCCAATTACATTCCTTGAATAATTATCAAATAGAGCAAGTCAAGATCTATAAGTACCTTGGGGTCATCCTGGATTCAAAACTTAGTTTTGAAGATCACATTGATTATATTGGTAAAAAGGCAAAAATAAAAATTGGTTTTCTGTATCGACACAAGCACTGCTTCCCCCCAATGTTCCGTTTGGAATTGATAAAAGCTACCATACTGCCTCTACTTGACTACTGTGACATCGTGTATAAATCAGCCCCAGGTACTGTACTGAAGAAGCTTGATTCCATCTATCACTCGGCCTTAAGATTTGCATTGAACTGCCCATATAGGACTCACCACTGTGATCTCTACATTGGGTCAAACTTAACATCAGTTAATGTTCGACGGCTTGTGCACCAGATCTTATTGATTCACGATGTACTTACAAAAAATTCCGCAGACTACCTACTGGATCTCCTCTCTGTTTCAAAGAACAAATTTGACCTCAGGTCTTCGCTCATTTACCAGCTTCACATTCCCTATTGCCGCACAAAAACTGGAGAAAGGGCCTTTGCTATTGATGCCCCCAGGGTCTGGAATGCTATTTCCAATAAACTGCAACTTGAATCACTATCTATGAGATCTTCACTCAAAACTGCTCTAGAGGAGTTGTACAACCCTAGCTGCCACTGCTATTCAGTGGCCTAAAATATGGCTCTAGATTTTGGTGTTATAATTTATTTATGTAGTTTATTGTTAAAAATTCGGTCACAGTCCCTATGATAACTGTTACATTGGATTTATGGCTTTTATTTTGGTGATTTTCGAAAAGTGTTTTTTGTTTTGGCCATGTTTTTGTTTATTGTAGTACGGAGTTAGACTGATGGCTTTAATCTTAGTTGTCTTGTTGTTGTTGTTATTTGACTTGCATCCCACTGGGATTTTTGCACACAGCGTTGGTGTACGGTGCTATTTCAGGAATATTTTGATATTTTTTTCCTGGATTTTCTGTTTGCACAGTCACATACTCACTTTACGATGTTTTCTTGTTCATGTTTTTGTTTGTTGCGGTTGCACCCGATTCAAGAGCCGAATGGCTCACAGGGTTATACCAGATAAATGAACTATGAAATATGAACACACTACACTATACACTACACTATACACTACACACTGCACTATAGACTACAGTATACAACTACACTATACACTACACTATACACTACACTACTATACTACACTATACACTACACTATACTTTACATTATACACTACAATATTATACAATACACTACACACAACACTATACACTACAGTATACATTACACTTTACACTACAATATTATACAACACACTATACACTATACTATACACTACAATACACACTACACTATACACTACACTATACACTACAATATTATACAACACACTACACACTACACTATACACTACACTATACACTACACTACACTATACACTACACACTGCACATATACACTACACTATACACTACACTATACACTACAGTATACACTACACTACTATACTACACTATACATTACACTATACATTACATTATACACTACAATATTATACAATACACTACACTATGCACTACACTATACACTACAATATACACTACAATATTATACAACACACTATGCACTACACTATTCACTACAATACAAACTACACTATACACTATACACTACACTATACACTACACACTGCACTATACACTACAGTATACAATACATTATACACTACACTATACACTACACTACTATACTACACTATACACTACACTATACATTACACTATACACTACACAATACACTACACTACTATACTACACTATACACTACAATATACACTACACTATAAACTACACTATACACTACACTACTATACTATTAGTACACTATACACTACACTATACATTACATTATACAATACCATATTATACAATACACTACACTACACACTACACTATACACTACACTATATAATACAATATTATACAACACACTATACACTACACTATACACTACAATACACACTACACTATACACTGCACTATACACTACACACTGCACTATACACTACAGTATACAATACACTATACAGTACAATATACACTACACTACTATACCACACTATACACTACACTATACATTACACGATACACTATACACTACACTACTATACTATACACTACAATATACACTATACTACACACTACACTATACACTACACTGCTATACACTACACTATACACTACAATATTATACAATACACTACACATTACACTATACACTACACTATACACTACACCATACACTACAATATTATACAACACACTACACACTAAAATATACACTACATTACACACTAGACTATGCACTACACTATACACTACTCTACACACTACACTATACACTACACACTGCACTATGCACTAAAGCATACACTACACTTTACACTACAGTATACACTACAATATTATACACTACACTATACACTACACTACACTATACACTACAATATTACACAATACATAACAATATTATACAATACACTACACACTATACTATACACTACAATATACACTGCACTATACACTACAATGTTATACAACACACTATACACTACACTATACACTTCACTACACACTACACTATACACTACACTATACACTACACTACACACTACACTACACTAAACACTATACATTACACACTGTACTATACACTACAGTATACACTACACTATACACTACACTATACACTGCACTACTATACTACACTATGCACTACACTATACATTACACTATACACTACACTATACCCTACACTTCTATACTACACTATACACTACAATATACACTACACTACACACTACACTATACACTACAATATACACTACACTACTATACTACACTATACACTACACTATACATTACACTATACACTACACTATACACTACAATACTATCCTACACTATACACCACACTATACACTACACTACAAACTACACTACTATACTACACTATACACTACACTATACACTACACACTACACTACTATGCTACACTATATACTACACGATACACTACACTATACCCTACACTACTATACAATACACTATACACTACACTATACACTACACTATACACTACACTGCTAAACACTACACTACTATACACTACACTATTATACAACACACTATAAACTTCACTATACACTATACACTACACAATACACTATACACTACACACTACACTACACTGTACACTGCACTACACACTACACTATACACTACACTTTATACTACACTACTATACACTACACTATACACTACGCTATAAACTACACTATACACTACACTGGTATACACTACACTACTATACACTACACTCCTATACACTACACTATACACTACACTACTATACACTACACTCTACACCACACTATACACTAGACTATATACTACAATATTATACAACACACTATACACTACACTATTATACACTACACTATGCA